GCTGGCTTTGACAGCCCCTCCTATTCTTATCTCTTTTGCAGCTTGTAGAACACGTATGGCTATAAAACGAATTGTTATTCTGCACTGAAAAAAACTTCTTCATTTCGGAAGCAGAAGGCCACCACAACACACTGTTAAAACAAGCGTACAAGAATTTACCAGTATTTGAATGCAGCCTGATGGATCTTTCCAAGACAGCTGTGATTTGCACCCAGAACTATCAGTATGGGGTTCCTGGAGGAAGCGGAGGGGGGCAGGGGGCTGAGGTTTTTTTGCTGTTTGGTTTGGTTGGGTTTTTTTTGGAGGGGTTCTTTATTTTGTAACCTCATATCTATTGTTCGCTAATCAGCTGAAATCCCATTCCAGGGAACTCCAGCATCTAAAAGTCCTTCTGATCAGCTCTGTAGCTTCGTCTAAGGGCACTAAAATACACTTAAACTTACAACAACTGCTTTTATATACACACAGTTACTAAAACCCAACACTCAGGTCAGTAAGGTCAATATTCAGGTTGCTGAAGAACTCCGTTAGGCCACCAAGCAGCAGCAGTTTCCAGCACTGAACCCCCCTCAGCCACCAGCCCAGCAGCCTGCGCAGCGCAAACCCACGCGCTGCAAGCCACAAGGTGGAGATCTCTGGCAAAGCAGGACCCAGAGGAAGTCTCGTACCCAGCCTCATGTTACCATTAACACTCTGAGCCATTGCATCAAGCCAATTTTTCTGTTTGTTTTTAAAGTTTGATAGAAATGTCACTAGTGGAAAAATTAAGTAAAGAGCACTGGTTAGCCACAGAACTGGACACACCTGGCTGCAAACCCACCAAAAGCAACTGACTTCATTAGTACTAGGGACAGCAGAGTAAAATTTATATCTGAAATATGCCTGCACCAGTAGAATTTGCTGAGGCCACAGGCTCTCTGTGTGTTTTTACAGCTGCATCAGGTTTTGGTTTCTGACTCTTGCTGACATTCAGGAGTGCTGAAGGAGCACAGGCTAACAGGTCTCAAAACTTTGTAGCTGGGATTTAGATCTCAGCAATTTTAACAACCAGGTTTTGAAATAATACAAACTCCATTTGGAGTTGGAGCTGATGTAAATTAGTAGTTAAAATGCCTTACATTCTATCACTTTCGGTTCCAATGAACTTGTATATTTAAGAGCAGATGGCATATTTTAATAAACCATCAATATCGATTCAGGAATATAGTATCCATTTTCTGCACCAAGTGTTGGAAATGTTGCTAGATATGGAAATGAGCTGAAGCACTGCAGCTTTGTCTGTCAACAAGTTAAACTGACTGCATCCAACTCCCATTTTCGTACAGGTGCTCTGTCACTCATACCACAATACAGGAACATATCAATCAGAGTTAAATACTGACCTTCGATACCCTGCACAAGAGAAAAAGCAGGGAGTGGCATTTCCTAACCTCCTAGGAGCTACGCAGATGGTAACTTAGTGCCCTAAAAGTATTCAGTAAAGTTTCTTTTCATTTAGCTTCTGAGAAAGGCTCAGATTCTGAAATTTGAAAGCATCGAGGAACACTAATGTCAACCTTTTATCTACTATTCTTATATTGATATATTTAACTATCTTCTTTTGGAGGTAGAATACATTCTGATTCCAGGACTACATTACTTGAGAATAAATAGGTGTTACATATATTCCTCAATCAGCTCACAAACCCTTTGTCATTACCTCAGCTTCATTTTAAAAGAACCATTAGGGATAAATACATCAAGATGAGTAAGTAGATCCTAACGCCGAGGGTAACTGCCCTTTACTTACTTACCACTGAAAACTCCTTGCAATTGCTAAAGCTGAGATGTGAGCAAGAGTTCAGTCAGCGTACACCTATGTGAAGGGGAGCAGAGTAAGTGAAGAAGAGTGAACAAGCATGGAAGAAACAGGAGCCGCCCATGCAGGGGCATGGGTAAAGTGGTGTATGAAGCTAGGATCACTAGCACCGAGGAAGGAAAATAAAGCAAGGGAACAGCTAACCTCTTCAAACATCAACGCATAAATTATTTGCATCTAACATACAATAAATACTGTGAGAAGATATTAAAAAGTTCATTCCTTTTGACAAAGTAATGACTGAAAGATTAGCAATAATTAGAAGATGAAAGAAAAAAAAAAAATCACTAAAAGATTGTGAAAGCCCCATGCCTTCACAAACACTACAGGGAAGAAAACCGTCCTAATTTCCAAGTTTACAATCCAGGAGAGTTCACTATGCTTTCTTACACACCCTTAGCGCCTGGTCCAGCTAGCTGTTACCTCAAGAGTTCATGTTCTCTCACGAGGAGTCTCATTAAAATCAATGGGCCTCTGTGCAGCTAAACTATATTAAATATACACACAGATGTAACTGTTTTTGAGATCAAGCCTTTAAATGTGTACATACTTTATTTAAGCATCAGCTATTGCCACATAAAAGCTATTTTAACACTAGGTTACAGTTGAAAGTATATTATAGGGATCATATTATTGCAAACTAAGCATGCTCATTATTACATCGCATGATCATTATTACAAAGATTTTGAAATTTAAATTCAAGCATAAACTGAAAAGATGCCTAACCTGCCAAGGCAGAGAATGGCATTCAAACAGCTTCAGATCTCCTTGCAGCTTCATCATACAGCACCCATACAATTATAACATGCATGTGTTAACATTTGAGGCTCCAGACTGGATGAAAACACCATGACACTGGTGGGTTTTTTGGTTGGGTTTTTTTTTTTTTTTTTTTTTACATTTTGGGGAATTTTGAGGAGCAATGGAGTAGTTTAGTTTGCAGAAATGGAAACCCTGTGCTTCCATTTACAAAGCACTGACTGCAAGCACTATCTTTTTTCCCCTTAAAGTCTACTGGAAAAAAAATTCATTGCAGGTCTAACTTACACCATGCTTCACTTTGGAGTTCTGTGTGCTTGTAAGGGCAGCAAACAGTTAGCTTTGCTTCTCTTTGCTGTTTGCTGCTTGCTTCAAATCCTGCAAGGAAAACTACAACATGGTGTTTCAGGTTAGTGCATATAAATGAAAACTAGGTTCAAAAGAAGCAGAAAAATAATTTTCTGTTCCAAAGCAGCAGCATCCTCTCTGTGCACAGACAGAATCAAAAGATCCCTGAAGAGATTTTGGCGGGCGTTTGCAGGTGGCTGGGTTCTTCTTTTTTTTTTTTTTTTTTTTTTCCTGTGAAGAAGAGCAGCCTTAATCTCACACCCAGAATGAAGATCTGAGCCGTCTCCATTTCCTACAGAAGGCAGAATCAACCCCAGATATAAGCTATCTCAATCAATCTTTTTCTCTGGTACTAATTGGATTTGTCTAGGCTCACTCGCACTGCCTTATGGCACCTGACCAGGAAAGTGGAGATTCCCATATTGGAATTTATGTAAGCCCATTAATGTAGCAGGAAATTCCTGAACTTGGATTTAATCCAAAAGATTAAGAGGACAAATTGTCTTTTAAAGCTAGGTGTAACATAGTAAAGCTACAAAATTCCTAACAACTAGGAAAAAAAAGCCATTGCTGATGGGTGGGTGTCAGGAGGATGGGGCCAAGCTCTTTTCAGTGGTGCCCAGTGACAGGACAAGGGGCAATGGGCACAAACTGAGGCACAGGAAGTTCCGTCTGAACATGAGGAAGAACTTCTTCCCTCTGAGGGTGACGGAGCACTGGAACAGGCTGCCCAGGGAGGCTGTGGAGTCTCCTTCTCTGGAGATATTCAAGACCCACCTGGACAAGGTCCTCTGCAGCCTGCTGTAGGTGACCCTGCTTCGGCAGGGGTGTTGGACTAGATGACCCACAGAGGTCCCTTCCAACCCCTACTATTCTGTGATTCTGTGAATAACTGTAGTTAGACTAGAATGAATACTTCCTAAAACCATATACAAAAGAAAAGATCGGAGAGAAACTTCTTGCACTACGAATGTGACTGCATACCAAATCCTAACTCGCTGGTTAATTCCCTTGTCTGTCACCAGTAGGAACACCCTAGCAACCTCTCCCTTGGTTACTTGGCTGACAACGTGCCACTACTGCTATATGAAAACTGTCACTTCTCTAAAAGTCCAATTTATTTTAATCACAAGCAAACCTCTGTTGAACCACTGAACAATTCCTTCCTTTTTCCACAACACAGGAGATCTTGCCTAGCCCTGTTCTCCCACCAGAAGTGCCCTGAACACAGGCATCCTCAACTGTATCAGGTCTCCTGTCACCACTGCGCTACTGGGGTTACGAAAACTATGTCCTACTTCCATTGCTTCCGTACTGCCTCCTCTGAAGACCATCAGCAACACACGGCTGGAGAAAAGCACTTGCAGACTTTAAGGCCAGAAATGACCATTAGAACTAACTAGCACAACCTTCCTCAGAACAGGCCAAAAAGATCCAACATTGTTCTTCCTTCAAACTCGCAAATGAACTATGCTTGGAGCTATTCTCTCCTTACAACATTCCTTTTGTGATAAAGACTAGGCATTCTAAGAATCCAAAAAGAAAAATAAACTAATGACTAGTTCTAGTCATGTACAGGAATTTAACATAAAAACCTTGTCCCTTAACTTTCCTTTTACTTACCATCCTAGATACAGAGAAAAGTAATTCCAGCAGAGATCTGAGTTAAGTTGCCATTATACGTTTGGCACCAGTCATGTTTCTCCCTACCTCAGCTGCTTATTCCTACCCACAAATGCCCGTTTGGTTTTAACAGCATCCATTTCTGCAATCACATGGCAAACCACGTGGAAAGTTAATTAATTACTTTCAGACAAATCAACATCTTCATCCAGGCCACGGTGCAGTTTCAGAAACAAGGTCAGCAGCTCAACACAACAGAATGAATGGTCAGGAGGAAGGGCTATACAGACCAGCTGAAGCTAATAAAGAAACAAACAAGCAACTACAGGTTGATTCTCAAACATTCTTCTAAAATGCAAAGTTACAAAAAGATGCGAATCACCCAGATTATCAATGCCAAAGATGACTTACCCCCATCACCTTACCACGCTGTTCAACATCCTCCCACATGCAGTGAACTATATAGCGACACATGTATTTTCCTGTGCGACCCTCCTGCTTCATTCGTAACAGACACATCCTGCAAGGGCATAAACACCAAATTCATAGTTTCTTGTTATTCTTCAGACGTAAAGAGTATATTAAATACATTTCAGCTCATTTAAGATTCTCCTTACACTACGTTTTTGTGATCAGAGAAAAAAAACACATACAAAGATGATTTTTTTTTTTTTAAATAAACTATCACAAACTTTTCTATTCTGTACTCGAGAGCTGTATCTGCTGGATTTTGGCCAGTCCAGCTATGGAAGAGTAACAGTGGACTCTATTCTGGCTGACAGTACTGTAATCTAGTTAAACAGCACTGCAACCTAAATTCCTCAGCCTTAAGAACGCATCACCTTTTGGAGCAGGAACAAATGTCTTGTCTAATCCTAGGCTACAAGCCAGCTGTAATTCACCTTGGTACACTAAAGTGCTGGAAGCGTCCGAACTAGCCAAGCTGTGAAAGCTTAAGCAAGTTACAGACTTCACCCAAATTCACATTAGCAATGTCCTAAATTATTTCAACTACAGGGGTCTTTGGATACTTGTCCAACCACTTGGCAAAACCCCTAACACGAGATACTTGCTAGAAGAACTCACAAGTTTCTAAGTGCATTGTGGGATCTTAATGAGAATACCAGGTTGAGGTTGGGTTTGGGTTTTTTTTAAGCATTAAAGCCACTTGGAAGTTCATTGCTGCTGTTGTGTCTAAAAAATAAATCATTAGAACAAAAATTTCGTTTTGCCTCTTTTACAACATCTGTAAACAGCATGAACTGAAATACAAGCTGAAACACTAAGCTAAGAGACCAGTCCCACCTCCTCTACCTCACTAATCAGCTCTGCTCCCGTGTTATGAGTCAAAAGGGCCTGTCTAGGGTTGACTGAGTTACTGCAGACGAGGTGACGCTCAAACACCGGAGCTGAAAGAAGTCACTGCTCTGCATAGAGACAGGTGGGAAACTGCTCACAGGAAATTCTTCTCACAGCTTATGCAAAAGCAACAACGCAGAGCTGCTGGAGGCCTCTTTGAAGCAGTTGCATACTAACAATAGTGAATGTGCCACAAGAGTCAAGAGGTAAAAGTGATGATTTTTTTAATCTGTTCATTGAAGAATGGACATAAGACGTGTGCCTCCCTAAAGTCATTAAAAACCTTTGGTGATCTGTGAATGCCAGCTCAACAGGAAGAATCAGAAACACTCGAAGCTTTTCTGTTGAACTGACCTGTAGAAGGACAGATGACAACCTTTATAACGGATTCTATCTTGTCTACTGATTAGGAAAGATGTTTTTTAACCTGCAAGGGAAGCAAAACTTCTTACCAGTGATGAGCCAGAGACAAAACAAACTGAAGGTAACAAAAACTGCATTAGTGCTACATTCTTTTTTCTGATAGGAACCATACATGTAAGTCCCACAGCAGGGCCACTCAACTGAGACATCAAAACTGAAAGACGAAAAGCCCGTGGACCAGAATCTGATTTCTAGATGGAGAACTTCTGAAAATGACACTGGCCATACAAGAGACAGCTCTGGCTCCAAGACAAGCCAGGTGGAATGAGGACAGAAGACTGGAGAGAGGGACCGAGGCATGACAAGTAGACCAGTGACCAAAGGGCGGAGTGACTGCGAGAATCTGGGTAGAAGGTGGGCAGAGCAGGGGAAGGGCTGCAGGCAGTGAATGGAAAGTTGTGAAGATCGTGCCCATTTCTGTCTCAGGCAACGGAGCTGTGCGAGGATTCCCAAGATTTATGCTGTGGCAGTGACAACTTAGTATCTGTCCAACAGCAAACAAACGCAATTAAGACGGTATCAAGAAATGAATCCTCATCTCGCTCACAGCAAGACGACGAAGCTTTCTGGTAAAACAGTGGTCCAGAAATCAGGGAACAGCTGTCCAGCTACCAGTCCTTCCACAAAACAAATGCACAAAAAGCTTAAAACTTCTGTGTCTGACTTCCATCAGATTCAAAACCTTTCTTCCTCTTGTGCACTTACATAGCCGAGCAGTATGAAAAAGCTAATCAGTAAGAGTTACTGTATCCCAAATTTTTACCCACTCTTAAGAAGTCAAAAAGATTCAGTTTGGAAGACTAATTTTGGGCTAAGAAAATAATTTTTATACTTCTCTTGCTGAATATGCAAGCCCAAGGAGGGAGGGGGAAAGCGTGG